AAAAGTTTGTTTTTGGACAATCTTTGGTTTGTTTACATTCAGATCTTAATTCAGAAGCTTACATCCACTCCCTCAGTGTTTGCCTTCAAACTTTTACGACTTGAGTCACACCTTTTGGGTTTCCTCCTCCAGCTTCTTACACAAGCATGCTGGACATTCTGGCCCATTCCTCCTGACAGAACTGGTGTAACTGGGTCAAGTTTGCAGGTTGCCTCAAATTTTTCCATGCGAATCAGATCAGGGCCGAGTCACGCACCAACAGAGAGTCTTTGTTACCTAAAGCAAACTAATCTGACATTAATAATGTTTGGGCCGAAGCTTTGACATTCTGCCTGATGTCTTGAGATGTTGCTTCAACATTTCAACATGACCTTATTTCATTGTAATGCCGTCTACTTTGTGAAGATCGTCAACAATTCAATTTCAGATTCAGACCACAGGACATCCGTCCAAACATTAAGGCGTTGTTCCTGAGTGAATTTGCAAATTTTAATCTGGCCTTTCATGTTGATTTCAAAGTAATGGCTTCTTCCTTTCTGGGCGGCCTTTCAGCTCACGTTGGCGTTATTTCACTGTGGTACTCGCGCTACCGAAGCAGCTTCAGTCTGTGCTTTAGTTTTAGGGGTTTGCATCAACACATCCTTTCCTTCCTGAACATTTAGTGTGATGACTTCACATTTCTACGGTGTTGGTATTTCTATTTACAGTTGATGAACGTTGCACCATCAGCCTAATAAAAGTTTGTTGCAAAAAAAATAATTCTGGTAACGTCTGCCTCAATATCAGAGAGAGAAATAAATGGCTATTCATCCTTTTATACAAAGCATAAAAACATCTGGCTAAGCTTGACTAAACATTTCTCCTTAAGGCCTCACAGAGCTTTCCAGATCATTACTCCAGCCCTCCCACAGCATCAGGAGGCGTAAAGTGATCGAGTCATTTCTGGATTTTCTTTCCTGCGCTGAAACACGGTCGGAGCAGGTTTTGCAATTCTCGGCGTTCTCTGAAGGCTGGGACATGCAAACAAGTCAAGGTCCTGATGCTGCAGGACCCCCAGGATGGATCTCAGTGCAAACATTATATCTGAGCCAAGCTCCCACTTCGACTTAGAAGACATTTTCTGGTCATTTTCTGGTAAACAAATGAGGAAAACATATCAACAGGCAAGAAAATAACTTTTTTTTTAAGTCAGAGGTGAAGCTACACCCCAACATGTTTAACACAGATACGAAAAGCTTCAAACTATTTCTATACTAATCCACATCAGGGTATCTGCAGGTTTCACCAATGCAAAATTCAAAGACTTTGTGTACTTACGGAAGTAAAAGGGAACTGAGGGGTAGTTGTGTGCTTCCCGGTAGGCGATGAGGTTGATCTCGTGCTGCCGCTGTTGCTGCTGCATTCGGTGTTTTGTGCGCCGATGGTGGCAAATGCAGCAGAAGCACAAAATAAAGATGATTGCCCACACCAACCAAAACCCTAAAAATGGATGGAAAAAAACAAATACCATTTGCTTTAGAAATCCTAATTTCGCTGTTTTGCTTCTCATTTCAAAAATAAAACAGGAAGCGAGTAAAATATGCTTCTGCGCATCCAAATAATACATTAAGAGAAGCAATTCACCTAAAACCTAACATAACGGTTCAAAGCATTCGCATGTAAGAAATAATTTAATTTGGTGGCACAGGTTAAATTTAACTCTAAAAATATACATTCATAATTGTCTGAAAAATCATTTTAATGTGCTTTTAGTAATGCCCTGTCAGCATCTCCAGACTTAAGCTTAAACTACAGCAGGAAGCAGGAGAGAACTTTGTTTACTATGTGTGGGAAATTAACAGATCTCTGTTGTGTCGTCACAGAAAAATGTGAGGAATTTCACTTCAAGGACGAACAAACAAGAAGGCAGACGCAAACAAAAACACACAGAAAACATTAAATTCAGGCTCTGAGAACATGAATCTCTGCATGGGCGTCAAATTGTTGCATAAGCTTTTTAGTAACATTTCATACTGCACTTTTACCGACAAACCAAGAGAAATTTATAGATTAGATAATCCGACAATAAACAGTCTTTTTTGATCCATGATACATTTGTTCTGTTTGCAGAAAGTGGAACGTGAACATTTAGTTTGAGATCCAAAGGACAATTCATCTCAGAACCAAAAGTCCAGCTTAAAACTTTCGTCTAAGAGGCCGCGGAAATTGAAAAAGTCATTTTGTAAGTTAGAAGGTGCATTGATTTGTGCGTTCTGTCAGTACTTTAAAAACCAAAAAATGATCAATGACAAATAACATAAAAGGACAAATATCCAATTATAGATTAAATCCTTTAAATTGGGTTTAATCTATAATTATTAAGAAATAGAACTATTAGCTACCCAATTTCTGTAATAATAGAAAAAAAATGACTTTTCTGCTGTATTTCAACTCACTTCTGAATGAATGTTTTAAAGTGACATCACTTAAGCACACCTTAGTGTTATTAAAAGACAAAACTTCACACTTCAGGCCATGCAACAGTCTCCTGTTTTCACCGAGGTTTCCTAATAGTTTATAAACATAAATGTGTAAAAATAAATGTATTTCTGTCATTTTAGGCTGATCTTTTAAGACTAGGCCAAAGGGGAAAATAGTGACTAATTACACAACACAAACAATACAAGCTGCAGTTTAATGAAGTTGGAAATAAAGGGATCTGATGTGATCGTAAAGACGAAAAGGAAGAAGGTGGAAACTTACACCAGAGCTCATAGTAGTAACTGCAGCACTGGGATTCTCCGCAGCAGTGTCCGTACTCGCAGAAGTAGCTCTGGTTGTTGACGCCATCACAGTGGATCATGCTCTGCAACACAAGGACAGCAGAACATTGTGAAGGGATGTTTTAGCGTAAAATAAGTCATCTTGTCCAGTCGTATCAATTCAGGCCGTGGGTAAAAATGAAACAGCGGCGCAATAAGGGTTCCTTTAAATTTCTCCATTTTCTGGTATTCACCCCTCCGATGTCTACAGGCACTTATGGCTGCTTCCAATGTGCTTGGAGGAAAACAAAGACCAGGTGAGGTGAAGACTGCAGCAACAGTTTGAATAATGAGAAACTACATTTATTAACAGACTAACACAGTTTGCACATTTGAGGTATAAGGATGGATGATTTATGCTTCAGGGGGGAAAAAAACTTATTTGCAAACTAAAACTGCACTAAAATTAAAATTGTCATTGCAATTGCAGTGCTCGCAGTATTGTAATAGGCGAGGACTACTTGACATTTTAATTTTCCACTCTTTCCAGTAATAAGGTATTCATAAATGTTTAAACATGTTTGAACCAACCCAGCCTTACAGAAATGGAAAATAACCAAACTCAAACTTTTTGTTCATAGAAAAAAAAAAAAAAAAGGCTACCAGGAATTATTTCTTCTTGGTTATTTAAGAGCTTTGCAGAATGTTGCTGTATTCTTATAAATAATGTGGTAATAAAAGACCCTGAACATAAACTAAATCATCCAATCCAAGCAAATCCCTGCGCCAGTAGTAATTAAAATCTCTCCTCACATTCCTGAAATATTACATCCAGCAGAAAGGGATGGACGTGCGGTCGCACTGACCTAGACCTTTGACCAGAGAAATCTAATCTGTTGATCCTCGAGTCGAAGGAAAAGCGGACAAATCGGAATAAATTCACTCAAGGTGTTCAACGGATATTCCTTTCATGGGAGGAAAAGGTTGGGAAAGGAGTCTGACAAGAATAAGGTTCTGCTCCCCTGAGTCATTAGGGGTAAAACACAGCTATGTTTTTAAGTGCTAATAAAGACACTGGCAGAAGTTTTCCTTGAGCAAAAACCCACAGTGCTGCTTGTGTTTAGTCATCAATTACCATTACCGCCAATATGTAGTCATATTTTTCCAAGTTCACGCATTACAAAAGTAACAATCAGCTCTGGAAAAATTAAGAAACCACTGCACTGAATCCCACTGAAACCCTGGTGGTTATTCCACCAAATACTGATTTCTGAACTCTTCTTGAGTTAAAACATTAATGTTGTTGTTTCTTGTTTTCTTTGCATTACTCGAGGTCTAAAAACGCTGCATGTTTTCGTTATTTTGACCGTTTCCCATTTTCTGAAAATAAATACAAAATGTTTGCTTGGAATTTCAGAGACATGTTGTCAGGAGAATAAAAGAATAAGGTTCATTTTACAAACTAATCATTTTAAATGGTCTCTTCCCCCCCCCCTTCCCCCCAGAACTGTAATGACTTGTAACGTGATTTTATTTTATTTTTTTTAGCTTTTAGTTGTTTTCTTTGACTTGTTTACGTAAATGTGTTGCTAACATCAAGTCATAAACTACTGATGTACTTAGTGAGTTTCTGCTGCATAAGCCAGGTTAACGGGAGACAGAAAAAGTATTGATTATGCTGGTCACAATGATTCACCTCAGTCACTTGATCTGAAATATAAATATTTAAGAAAAAAAATTCAGCATGACACTAAAGGATAAACTGTATTACTAGGACATTAGTTCAATGGGAAAAATGCCATCACAGCTGTTATTTACTCGTATTTTCTGATTAGCAACAACACAGGATATATATCTATTCTATTGTTATTTCTGAGAAATCTGTTGTGAATGTCTCATTATTAAAAAGGTTGTTTTGGCTTTTCTCTGCCCTCTGGTGCTTTTGCAGTTTTGTTCTTTTCAGATTTGTCTTTTCCCCAAACGTGACGTCTTCCACAGGACATTTTGAACTTAGCCATGCAACAATTCACACCTAGCCTGGGGCCGTAAACCCCCTGCTTTCACATACGGGCAAAACATGCATTTGGGATATTGCTGTTTAACACTGCAGAGGCAATATATGACTAGCCTCCAGTCTCCACAGTCTGTTTACCATCAACACATTGTCCCCAACACTTTTCATGAGTTTGAGTGTTCAAGCCACAAAAATGAGGTGTGGCTGCCACAGGCAGTGAAAGTCCATCCAACAGGGTCAATATTTAAATCTAGAGTACGAATGCATAAAAGTTTTAATACATTTCATACGGCAACACTTTGAAAACAACAGCAATTCTGTACATTTTAAACATCTAATTTAGTGTAATGGTTTTTGGGTTACTTGTTTAATGTAAGCAAGCAGCCTAATGAGGTTTATGTGATTCAATGTTTCTGGACATTATTTCAGTTTGATCAATGAACATAATGCGTCATTACTAATAAGAGCCAACAAGAAGCACCCTGTATATATTACACACAGTGTAATACATCCAGGGTTTCCCCCAGTGTATTATAAGCCTGGTGGCCCACCAGGCTTTACTTGTGCCTCCACCAGGTTGAACATTGATTATTTTTAAACATTAAGTCTTTTTAAAATGTTTGCATTTTTTAAGGCTTTATAGTTGGTGTTCAGATATTAATCTTCCATTCTTTCAATAACACATAATCATCAAGTGATATTTTCAAATTTCCTGTCAACATTAAACATTTTTTAGCTCAAAAACACGACAAGCTGGTGAATGAATGACTGCCCTGGTGCCCAACCACCAGGGTTAGCAAGTTTTCTGGGGTGAACCTTGACATCTATCTATACAGTCTTCAGAAAATATTCAGAAAATTGGAACATGTTATTTATTTTCATAATTAATTCAAATGACATACCTGCTAAGACAAGTAAACTGATGCAACGCTTCAGAACTTGGTTCTGAAATGGTTAGTTTAGGAGCGTGAAACAAGAAACAGAAGAAGGCTGAGAGAAAATAGTAAGACGTAGAGATGGAAATTAGGATGCAAATCAGCAAAAAATATAGAGATACTACTGAATGCTGCAACTATTAAACAGAGTTGGACCAATTATGATGGCAAATGTTGATGACATGTTATATTAAATATTAAAGTCAATCTTCAGAAAATAGCCACAAAATTCTGACAGGCACATCTCCATCTCAAACCTTGAATTTAGAGTTAATAATAATGATTAGAACCCAATAAATGTATTAGCTTTACTCACATTTCACTCTGTAAAAAACAACAAAAAAACAACAAAAAAAAACAATGCTACCACGTACTGTCTGATCGGCCACATGTATCACTGAATTTAAAAGCTTACCCTTCATTAACGTTATTGCAATCTTTTGTGTCTTGGTAAAATATCAAAACTGTTTTACTGCTCGACATTTTTCCTAGTGCAAATCAACTGTTATATCACAGCCAGCACAAGAGCCCTCAGTATGTTGCCCACAATGCAAATACACAATGTGAGCCTAAAACACCAAAGAGCGATCCATTTTAAGGTCATTTTCAGTAGAAATCTTCTAAACTTTTGTCTCCCCTCCATCAGCCTGCTGTATGTTTTCACTGTCAACACAGCGAACTTGCAGCCTGGCCAAAAGTTAACCAAACAGAACCTGTTAATGATACCCATCAAACCTGTGAAAAGCTAGGAAGTCAAAGAAAACAAGACGGGTTAGAAGAGAGGATGCCAAAAAAGCCGTACAGATCATTAAAGAAAGCAATATGCGCTGATGGGCTTTTCTGGGAAAACTTCTTGGACTTTGTCAAGACTTATCTTAATCATTAGTAACCAAAGGTTAAATATAAAGATAAGTTTTAGTTTCTATAGATTACCATCGAAAGTCGCTGACTTAGAGGCATGACGATTCCAGATCCAGACAATCCCTCTTTCACCTAACGGCTCGTTCTCCCCACGGAGGAAAAGTCAAAAAGCTCTTAAGCGTACCCCCCTCTGCTTACCTACCACTGCCTTCTTCGACTCTACCCACCGAAACACTCGCACACGCCCACCCCACTCCAACGCAGCCCAAACAGCCAACAAGGATTGCTTTACGGAAATTTCCAGGCATCGGCTGAGAACAGGCTCCTGGCTGCACCGCTCCATGACAATAAGGTGGTGAGAGGAGTGCGTCGAGTGAAAGACGCATAGAGAGAAACGACAGACAGACATAGGCACAAAAGAGGAATAGTAAATTTTGTACAAGACGCACTGGATGAGAACAAAATTTAACTGCTGACTGTGAAACAGCAACCTGGTTTTAAACCAGATGTTTCGACTTTATCAACACGGCCTACTGAAAAAAAACAAACAAAAAAAAAAACAGACCAGTCTGTGAAAAGATTTAAAGACCACATGACGTTCTGTTCCTCTGTGGCAATAATATCTGTTGTTCTCCTGACTTGGTTGGTATCCTATGTGTCTCAGACTGTCCTCGTTTGGCCTAAAAGAATCTGGTTGGTTCTTGGTTTAAAGTGCCGATCTGAATACTTAAAAATGCTATTAAAATTAGCAAAAAAGCATTCAAATAAATCCTGTGCAATTTTTTTTTTAAACAATTTGTAATTTCCTTCTTTATTTTGGAACAAAAAGGCAGTCCTTCTGTTGCCTGACCTTTGCAGCACAAATAAAAAAAAAGATTTGTAAAACTAAGATTTTTTTTTTTAATCCAGCAAAGAGGACTAGAGAAATGCATCAACCTTCAGGTGACCGATGATAGTTTTTCATTTTCAGCTTGATTCTTGCTGACCAAAGACTCACCTGAAGGTACATCATTTGCTGTCACAACTCCCTTCAATGTGGAAGTTGTTACAAAGTGAAAAGGACCCAGAGATTTTCTGTATCAATAACTTTCCATTAAAGTTTTTTAATTCAAAGTAGCGCACTAGAAAAGGTCGACAGGAATGGCAATATTTGAAATTACTTCCTGAATTTCACAAAAAAAAGGATGTTCTACGCTTGTTTGAGATTTGCTTGAGCGTTTAGGCACCTCAGATGGTTGCCATGGGAGACTGAAGTATCAAAACAACACTCCATGAGGTAATAACATTATAACATGATATAAAGTTATAAAAAGTCAAATTTACATGTTAAGTTTTCTTTTAAACAAAAAACATGGTTTCTTTTGTATCAAAAGGTTTATCTTAAAATTGAATATTAAATGCTTATGACTGTCGTTTAACTAGTCTTGCTGTAGTTAAGCGTTTCCCAATGCTGCAGATGTGTTGAAGTTTCATACAGAAAACAGATCCATAAAAAGACTGAATTTCACTTACGACACTTCTATTATTTTTCGTTTCATAAAACTTCTCCTTTACATTACAGGCAATCAAATAAAAAGTTTTTTAAAATGAAAACTCCATCTTTGCCATTTTCTGTGTCAGTACAGTGTTTCATAACTAAGAGAAAGCAGTGATGTAAGAGCCAAGCTTAAAAAAAAGTGACCACAACCTTATGGTTGGTGCCTCCCTAGTAATCTTTAATGATTTTCATAAATTGTCTCCAAAATGAAGTCAAATAAACATCTATGAGAATAAAAAATAAAGGTGACAAATGGTCCACTTAAAAAACTGGCTGAATAACACCAGGTCAAACTTCAGCTTGGGAGCTTTTGAAACCTGTTTTATGATGAGCCTTTAGAAAAAAAAAGAGTTTTAAAAAAGGAGCAAACTTTCTTAGTAAGACTTTGAGAATCTTTCACAAAGCTTGAAGAAGTGCTGATCAATGCCATGATTTCATAAAAACAGAACTTTGTGTTGCCTTTACGCGAGATCCAGACAAAAAATATAAAAGATCAACTTAAAAAAAAAAAAGAACAAAATAACACTGAGAACAGTCTGTACGGATCAGATTCTCCTGCGTACCCAAACTGTCCACCTCTCTCATTCTTTACAAACAGATTAAGACGCAGATTTGGTTACCATCCCTGAAAATCTTCGCAGCAGAAACATCAACCTAAATGAAAAGCCGCTGAGAACCTAAAAGATGTCTTTGTGACTATGTGATACTGTGTATGAAGAGAGGTGTCTGCAGCTCTTTGTTAAGCCAGACTTCACAGCCACAACTGATCCACTTTCATGTAAGACTATAAGGCAATCAGCCGATGCTCATGGGCCCCTCACCGTACAATTATTTCTTAATCCGATTAGCTGTGAAAGAAAGAGACCTTATTATCATCGTCAAGGTCACTAAGAGAAAGCTCAGATGATGCAATGGATTTGCAGCTTCACTTGAAACCAAAAACACATCTAGACAAGATGCTCAGGAAGAAAGTTGCATGTTAAATTTCCTCTCACATCGTTTATGTCTGCATCTACCGTTTGATTTTAAAACTACATATTAACTGGAAGATGTAGCCATGTCTGAATGACGGTGCTGTAACTCCATACCGACTGTGCATGACGGTGTCAACCACACGGTGAAACTCGTTGCTTCAAACTTCCAAAGCCTCAACTTCTCATTTCAGAAAATGGTATCACACTTCGTGGAAATTTGATTCCCCGAATACATATAATTAAAAATACTTCAAAATATGTTGGGGTTTTTTTTAAGTCTGATTACAATTACTTTGTGTCCGAGTACACAAAGTGACAACGGCACTCTATGTCTAACAAATTGTTGGGACAATCTCTATTATGTTGTGTAGGTTTTGTTGGAAGGACCATTGTGTTTTATTAAAATGAACAATGGCTGAAAACAGTCATTACAGACAACAGGCAGAAAAACAGCAGGAAAAATGGTTTGCATTATGAAAGAAGCCAGTGGAGATCGATGCTCAGCGAGGAAAGGTTGGTGGCATCAACTAACTCACTTTTTCTTTGGTTACTTAGCAACAACCTGTTGAGTAACTTATGTTGCAGCAATTTCAGGTTTTGCCACTGTCTCACAACTGTTTAAAACAGCCAAAAAACAGGCAAAAATATAATTTAATCAACAAATTGATTAGCCAGTGCAAGGTCTAGACAATTATCAATTTAAAAGTTTTTTTTTTAAATCTCAATTACGGAATATGTAATTCAGGAGTTTGATTACAAATGCAGGCAAAATTATGTTTGTGTTCTAAAGGAGGATAATCACTTGTGATCTTTAATGCTGAAACAACAAACATGACGTAGCTGTTACAGTAATTTTAAACTAAAATTATCAATAAAAAACTGAAAAATCTATTAAACAGCTCCAGGTTTCACAACAATCTCTGTTTTGATTATGCCATCACAGCTCTTCACAAGTCTAAATTTAAGGGCAAAGCTTCACCAGAATGTTGGCTTTTGAAACACTTTGTCCAAATATTCAACCAACAAACATTATGTGGTTATTTGAATTTTCTAACGGTGCTCTTTTAAATTAAACTGTTTAGACAAACACCTCAAACTACTTTGCAAACATAAAGAAAATGCGAATCAGTCTGGAATCGTTTAAAGACAGAGAAATGCAACCAGACTGCTGTTAAAAGATGATGCAGCTTGGAAGTAAACGACAACAGATGTTGGCACCCAATTTTTCCACCAATAATACCACCAACTGTGTTCTGCTCACTTGTAGAGTTGTTGTTTCTAAAACTTGGCTCGTCTAAAATATCAACCCCCTCCTCCCCCCAAACTATAAAAACAAGAAAGGCCGCGACAGCTTTCTAGCTTTAGCCTCGCTAGCCCTGGAACAGCTAGCAGGCATGCTAACATCTCAGTTCGTGCAGCACTGCTTATGCAGGTCAAACAACTCTCTGTAGTTAGTATCTAAACCGAGCAGCTAAAACAAACGACTCAGTATTTATATGATGTAGTAAGCTTATGGACAAGAAGTGTGCCGATCCGTTTGGGGTTTTAGCCAACAGTTCTGGTTAAGAACCTTGTTTTCCAACCTTACCCCCTCTGCTGCGGACTCCGTGGGGCTGACCGAGCCGACAGCATGTAAAAACAACCCCATCTTTAGAGCCGAACATACGCCTCTCATTCCTCCAAGAACCGGCCGCGGGAGGTAAACTTCTATTGTTCACAAACAGCGTCCCCTGACTGTGTCTTCAACTTATGTCTCGGCTCGAATTGCGCTCAGAGACCGCCGTATGCGCCGCCTCCTCTGGGACATGACAACGAGAATCGGGGCCGGAGCAACTGGTTGCTTACGGTGCGCCGCTGCCTGACACCGCTGTTACACAGACACACTGCTCCGGTCATTTGGGTGTGGCGTGGTCACCAGTGATGGGCAAATCCTGAACAACTTAGTGTTTGGTAACTCTAAACATCTTCTATGTAACTCATCACGTCAGTAAACGAACAAGGCCATTCTGACACTGCTGTGTCCTGCAGGAAGAATTAATGAAAAACATAAAGTGGATATATAAACACTTTGGAAGGTGGCCTCAGAATTTCTGGAAATGAAAGATTTGACCCTGGTTCCAAACTTGACATAATCTTAAAGGGCCAGCATTATGTGTGTTCTAGGCACATTGTGCCATTTTATATAGTCAAGTAGCCTTCAGTTGTTATAAAAAGTAAGGCCTTGAAATTGGGCCTCTGTCTTTAAAAATGCCTGGTCTTTCTGAAACTCCACCCTTTAACAACAATCTATTAACCCCTTAACGTTTTTACCAGTTCTGCACTGAGAAGTAGCTTGTACAATGAGCTCAGCTAGCAGTTTCACCAGGTGTTTGCTAACTGCTACTAGCTAGTCTGAAGGAGCTGAGTGGGAACAGTATAGGGGAGGTGTGCTCTGAGGCAGAAGCTTGGAAGCTTGTGTGGTGTATTCTGTCAGTGTCTTCAAGGGGTTGGTGAGGTGATGGTTCAGGAATAAGGCTCTACAGGCTGGACTTTGGTTGAAAAGGGCAAAGATTTTATTACAAACTGCAGCCTAGGTCAGCACAACCAAATTACAAGGAAATTGGCCCAAGGTAGTGCTGGAGACAGCGGGGCACCTAGAGTGGGTTGGAGGCACACTGTTATTGGATCCCTAAGTACCACCCCAGATGATTAACACAACACAGCACTGGACCATTTCTGAACAGTAGTTGGCACTATGTAGCACAAAGATGTTCTAGTTTACCATGTCATGGGTTGTCTTAATTAGTGCTGACATTAGGAACTAAACCAATGTTAATTTACCATCACATTACATAATTTAACAGATTTTCTTTTATTACAGGTCAGATCTCCAGACTGTATTAAAAAAAATACTGGTCGGAAAAGTTGACATGAATGTCCCTTAAGGAACCAAATAAATGTGTCCAGGGAAGGTGATAATTTCCCACATTAAAAAAAGAAGAGCATAGTGGGAGACAGCAACTTCTGAAGAACCTACATTTATGTCCTCAACATTTCTCTCCAGAGGACATTCAGTCATTTGTAAGAGCAAATCTGACAAAGGCTCTAACAGGTGATCATTACTTTTACAAGCTAAAAATAAATACCGTGCAGAGATAGGCAGCGCTGGAAGCTCTTTGAAATGCTAATGGAGCTATACTGCTGCCAGTATTGAATATGAAACCACCGATCTGACCGACCCTAAACAGCTGT